TGAGTCCAATAGGTCAGGTAATTCTCCTGTTGTGCTTTGATGATGTGGTTGGGCCGGATTGTGTGGCTGAGGGTGTGTGTGTCCTGAGGCGGATCACTGTTAGTGGTGTTAGTGTGTGTGGAGCCTCAGGACCAGCTGAAGGAGGGCGCTCTTCTCAGTGTTCATTTCATGGTTTTTAAGGGCTTTAAAATGATAAGAGTCAGGGTCACTCATTTTTAGATGTTTCCAAAATTTGATGGCTCGTTTCTGAAGGTGTGTTAGTAGAGGGTATTGGCCTAACTCTGCCCTGCATGCGTTGTTCGGTGTGTTCCTCTGCACTCCCAGGATACTCTTACAGAACTCAGCATGCAGGGTTTCAATCGGATTTTTGTCCCATTTGTCAAATTCGTGATTTAGGAGAGGACCCCAAACTTCACTGCCATATAATGCAATTGGTTCTATGACTGATTGGAAAATTTTGAGCCAGATTCTGATTGGTATTTCAATTTGGATAGATTTTTTGATGGCATAGAAGGCCCTTCTTGCTTTGTCTTTCAGTTCATTCACGGCCAAATGTAGGTTTCCAGTTGCAGTTTACTCTCTCTCTCTCTCTCTCTCTCTCTCTCACACACACACACACACACACACTCTCTTGTGGTCATTCTTACTCTCTCTCTCTCTCTCTCTCTCTCTCTCTCTCTCTCTCTCTCTCTCTCTCTCTCTCTCTCTCTCTCTCTCTCTCTCTCTCTCTCACACACACACACACACACACACACACACACACACACACACACACACACTCTTGTGGTCATTCTTACTCTCTCTCTCTCTCTCTCACACACACACACACACACTCTCTTGTGGTCATTCTTACTCTCTCTCTCTCTCTCTCTCTCTCTCTCTCTCTCTCTCTCTCTCTCTCACACACACACACACACACACACACACACACTCTCTTGTGGTCATTCTTACTCTCTCTCTCTCTCTCTCTCTCTCTCTCTCTCTCTCTCTCTCTCTCTCTCTCTCTCTCTCTCTCTCACACACACACACACACACACACACACACACACACACACACACACACACACACTCTTGTGGTCATTCTTACTCTCTCTCTCTCTCTCTCACACACACACACACACACTCTCTTGTGGTCATTCTTACTCTCTCTCTCTCTCTCTCTCTCTCTCTCTCTCTCTCTCACACACACACACACACACACACACAGGTCTGATCTGAAGTGAGTGTAATAAAGGTCATGATAACAGCGCAGGACTTTAGTCAGGACATGTAAACCACTGAGGTAAAGTTCACTCTAATAACCAGATCGTGTTCATAACTCCTCCTCCTCATGAGTTTGCATATTCTCGGCATCGGAATGAAACATTTCATTTATTTTCAAACATTTTATTTCACTCAGAACTCAAACAGCTTTACTGTCATAACACACACCATTTCGGCTTCCTGAAAACCTCAAGACTGACTGAATTTATTTTTTAAATGCAATATGTATACATATATATATATAGGCCTATATATATATATTTTTTTTTTACAAAAATTGAGGGTTGTATTACATTTAAAGAAAAGTATATTATTAAACTTTAAAAGTATTACAGAATAAAAGTCTTAAATACAAGATGTTCAATGGATGAATAATTCATTAAAGTTTCAACTTACCGTGAAAAACCCCAAAGAAACCGCCACGATCACGATCCAGAACACACTGGATCTCCTGAAATATGAGGAGCTGTCACTTTTGGCCATGATGAAGATGAAGATGATCAGTCAATAACTACTGACTAAACCACTGGAAACTGCACTAGTGTCTGCTAGCAGCCGTCAGTCACAGCACAGGAAATGACGCAATACACACGTCACAGAATAAAAGTCCCGCATTCAGAAGATATACGTTTATGTTCTGCAATAATACAAATTAAAATGTCACTGGAAAATATTCTTAAAAATACATTTAGAAGATCCGAGTAGCCAACTGTGACATAATCTAATGTAAATGTAACAAAAACTACCACAGTACGATAATATCTGCACGAAAATAGAGGTAATGATCTAAACAACACTACATATAATATTAGAATGAAATAAGTATTTCATGTCCTAGTTTGAGTGCGGTGATTTTTTTTTACCACAGTAAATTATAAATTCACAGTGAACTTCATCATAAAAAAGGGGAAAAGGCGTGACAAGATCCATTTATTATTACAAAAAGGTCTGTACATTTACTGTGTCAGAAAAAAACTTAAATCACACAATAATCCAAGTCTTACAACAAAATAATCAGTGTTACTCTCACACAATCTCTCAAATACTCTAAAACTAACTTCAAAAACATTTCAAACACTCGCGCAGTGATCAGCTCTGTGACGTCAGCATTACGTGCCATTCAGGTAAAATTAGAAGAAGAAAAAATAGAGAAAAAAGACTTGAAAAACAAAAGGACACATCATTCAACTGTCCTAAAATAATGGCGTTCCTGATATCTTGTGAACTAAAGATCTGAATCGAGACGTGCGACTTCAGAAACTGAAGAACGAGATTAAAACACTCAAGAGTTGCATTTAAGAGCAACATATTAAGGCTCACGAATCTGAAGTAAACAGCAGGACGATTTCAAGAGACACGTGATTGGAAACAGATTCTAGTTTGAATGAAAAATCAACTCGTTTGTTGAGTATAATGAGAAAGTGATTCACAATATACTCTATATATAACAGCAATCCGAGCGTTTGATTGACAGGCAGTGACGTCACACAGTTCAGGCTTCAGGATGAGTAAAAGAAAGGAGGAAGAAAAGAAAGGAGGAGGAAAAACTCTTTCGCTCTCTTTTAATTGTATTTCTAGAGGCGATTTGGCACAATCATGTTAAAAAAGAGAGAAAAAGAGTTAACACTGTATAAATCAATATAATATATTTATATTACATTAATTTACATGGAGAGTCAAATATTTGATATCATAAGCCAAACGGTTACAATGTATACAAAATATCTATAAAAAACTCCATGCCATGGCACAAACAGGCTAAACAAATCTCAAATATTAAAAAACAGGCTATGTACAATTCCAAATGTTTCGTCTTGTTTTCACAAAGGCCAAATGAGTTTTACCCAGCATCCCTCTCTCTCACACACACACACACACAAACACAGAAGCCAGTGTTTTTCAGATGTGAAGAGCTGCGCTGATCGCAACAGTGAAATCACACGCAACACACACACACACACACACACACACACACACACACACTAGAGCTGCTGTAAAGCCAAAACAATCTCTGTTCCATTAATTTCCTATTATCACTGTAAAGCTGCTTTAAAACAATCTATATTGTTAAAAGCGCTAAATAAATGTGAAGGTGACTTGACACACACACCCACTCTCTCTCACACACACACACACTTGAATAATTTAATTAAACACACACACACAATTGAATAATTAGAATATAAATTAAACTATGATCAATGAAAATATAGCCATTTGCTTCAGCAAGTTATTCTACAGTTATGAATGTATGTGTGTGTGTGTGTGTGTGTGTGTTGACATATGAAGAGATGAGGTGATCTTGTGCTCAGCCATATAATGATATTTCATGAGATGAACTGAAGACTCTGTGATCTTTCCCATCATATGAGCATTCATGCGATAAACAGAGATCTAGAGATTTAGTGTGTGATTTACACTAGTGGTGTGTATGCAGTTTAGCGACTCCAACACGGGAGTGTGTGAAGAACTGTGTTTAAGGCTGTCGGAGGAAACTAACTGGAGTTGATCTGCAGACCGACTCGCTTTATCTGAAATAAAACCAGACGTCAAAACATTGGGACCCTGAGAGTGATTTTACGAAAGAAGCAACAACAACTTCACACTTACACACATATACACACACACACACTAACCCGACCCATAAATCTACCCATCACACACACACATCTGGCTTCATCTCATACATTGTGCTGCGGAGGGACTGATCGTCCTGTAGAATCACACACACACACACACACACACACACACACACACACACACACACACACACACACACACACACACACACACACACACACACACACACACACACACACACACACACACACACACACACACACCAGTGACATACTGTATAAAGCTCAATCTCAGAAAGGCGTTAATAAATAGTGTCTTCAGTCTCTGCTTGTAAAGTCAGTTGCTCTTGGCGTCCAGATTGACGAGCTGAAGCTCCGAGAGGCTATTGGTGCCGCTGGACTGACCAATCACCATCTGAGGAGACACACACACACACATGGGTCAGATCATCAAACATGCACAACTACATCACACTCCAGGACCATCACAATCTGTCATCTGCACACACACACAAACACACACACACACACACACACCAGCTCATGTGTGACTGACGTCGACTGGAAACTCAAAACGGAGTGATTTCCAACAGTTAGTTACAGTTCTGCATTTGACTGATCCTTCGTGTTACACATCTGATCATGTGCTTCTTGTAATGCTTTAACTGAAAATGCAACTTTTAATGACCTCTGGAGTTTCAAAATGATTCAACCTCCTGAATATAACCCCTCAGAACAGCACAGATCTGCAGAACAGGCGTCGTCTCATTAATCAAGGGCTTCATGAGTGGCACCAGGTGTGCTTGAGCTAGAACACATGACACATCTGAACTGGAGAGGTTTGTCGAGTGTCACGTTTGACTGCATGTTAGAAATATGGCTAAGGGAAAAGAATGGTCAAGAGTTCAGAGAAGGTTTCATCGCCCTTCACAAACAAGGACCGGGATACAGAAAGATAGCGAAGACACTGAGCGTTCCTCGAGACGCCGCTGGAAGCAGAGGTCAGAGTTAAAGGAGCAGTGGTTACCCTTCGCACTAACCGCATCCGAGCTCCAGGACTACAGCAGACGGCTGCTCCACTCAGAGCTGAAGGAGGGAGTCACTCTGAGACTGCAGGAGTCATTCACAGTTGCATTTGGGGAAATCACTTGAAACATT